TAAAATACAGCCAAGAGTAAATAAATCAAAAGCTAGAAGAAAATATAGGTGAAATTTAATTTTAAGGTGAATAGGAAATTGAAGATACATAGATTTTACTATAAACTTTTAAAGTATTCTGTACAACAGAATATCTTAAAATTAACACAAGATGGAAAAACATTATCAAAAACATATTGGACAAAATTACCATCCTTTCCACATATGCATCAATTTTTTTAAATGCCCACTAATACTCCAGTTAAAGCAAATAGGGCTAAGTACATAGCCTTTGGAGACAAGTGTCCTGTACCTGATGCTGAGTCTGTCACTTTTCAATCAACTGTGTGACCTTGAGCAAGTTATAGTCTTCCCTAAAATTAAGCTTTTCCATCTGTAAAGAGGGATGATAACAGTTCCATTTGGGTGGGAATTACACGAGAGAATGCATGCTGTGTTTAGCTCCATACCTGGCAAAGATGTCCACATTTTCTCTATCTCTCACCTTACTCATGTCCTTACTCTCCTTCTTGGACAGCTTAAATTCCCTGCTTAATCATCACAATCAACTTTCATGTCCCTTTCTTATCTGCCTTGATTTTGGGGGAAACTATAAAGCTGGTTAAATCTAACCTCCCTCCTACTTCTCGTTGGCACCTGCATAGCCAAATGCAGCTGGAAAATATATTCCAGCTGACTGGTTTCACTTTAAACTGACCATCAGTGACTTCAAGAGGATCCTAATTGCCCTGGTTCATTCTCTATCCTGGAGGACCTTCTTTCTCTTCAGAAATCTATCATTTCCTTTCCCATGCTCACCCTCAGCTGTGCCTTGGCTTCCTACTTCACTTAGAAAATAGAAGCGGTGGAGAGAACCTCTACAAGCACCATAATCCACCAGCCTAACTCCATCTGTACCCACACACTCTGTCTTTTCTCCTGTTCCTTGAGATGAACGGTCTCTCCTCCCCACTGGAGTGCAGTGGCATGATCGTGGCTCATTGCAACCTCTGCCTCCCAGGTTCAAGTGATTCTTGTGCCTCAGCCTCCCAAGTAGCTAGGATTAGAGGCATGCACCACCACACACAGCTAATTTTTGTATTTTTAGTACAGACAGGATTTTTCCATGTTGGTCAGGCGAGTACTGAACTCCTGGGCTCAAGTGATTGGCCTGCCTCAGCTTCCCAAAGTGCCGGGATTACAGGTGTGAGCCACCACCACGCTCAGCCCTAGCCTTATACCCACCCCACCCATACTCCCTTACCAACTCAAAGATGTTGCTCCATCAATTCTCCTGACTCCTCCATCATAAATCTTTTCCCTCTCTACTGGTTCTTTCCCATTCAGTAAGCAAACAGGCTGTAAAAGCTCTCTCTTGACTCAGTTTCTGTCTTCAGCTCCTGCCCCATTTCTCCCTGTCCCTTAACAGCCAAAGTCTTCAGAAGATTGCTATATCAACTTGTTACTTCCGACTTTTTTCTTCTAATTTTCACTTGGCCCCACTACAATTGAGCTTTAGCCCTCACCTTTCATCAGAGCATCTCTATCAAGGTCCCCAGTGACCTGCATGCTGCTGAGTTCAACAGTCAATTCATAGTCCTTCTCTTACCTGACCTCTTCAAGACATCTATCTGACAAACTCATTTCTCTTTTATCCTTGAACTGCTTTCTACAACATGACACTTGCGCCGGGCATGGTGGCATGTGCCTGTATTCCCAGCTAGTTGGGAGGCTGAGGCAGGAAAATCAGTTGAATCCAGAAGGCAGAGGTTGTAGAGAGCGGAGACTGTGCCACTGCACTCCAGCCTGGGTGACAGAGTGAGACTACGTATCAAAAACAACAACAAAATGACACTTGCTTGATTTTCCTCTTACCTTGTTGGCTGCTCCTTTACCATATAGTGCTCTGGTTTTTCTTCATCTCCACTACTGCCTACAATTGGAGTGCTCAGAAATTAGTCTTCGGTCTTCTTCCTTTTTAAAAAATCCAGTTTCATGGTTTAAATATCATCTCTGGCCGGGCGCGGTGGCTCAAGCCTGTAATCCCAGCACTTTGGGAGGCCGAGGCGGGTGGATCACGAGATCAAGAGATCGAGACCATCCTGGTCAACATGGTGAAACCCCGTCTCTACTAAAAATACAAAAAATTAGCTGGGCATGGTGGCGCGTGCCTGTAATCCCAGCTACTCAGGAGGCTGAGGCAGGAGAATTGCCTGAACCCAGGAGACGAAGGTTGCGGTGAGCCGAGATCGCGCCATTGCACTCCAGCCTGGGTAACAAGAGCGAAACTCCGTCTCAAAAAAAAAAAAAAAAAAATATCATCTCTGCATTGAAGATCACCAATATATAAAGAGAACTGAACTCCAGGCTTGCATAGTAAATGCCCACTTGATACCCTCACTTGGATATATAGTAGGTGTCTCAAACATAGCATGTCTAAATTTTAACATGTGCTCCTAATTATGTCCCAAATCTGCTCTTCCTGAAGTCTTCCTCCTCTCAGTAAATGGAAACTTCATTTTCCTGGCTGCTCTTCCTCTCGTACTCCACATCCAGTCTGTGAATAAAGTCTTTTGCCATAATTTCAGCATATGTAGAATCCAGTTTCTTGACTGTATCCTGTTAGCCCCCAGCCAATCCCTCGTCATTAAGGCTGCTCCTATGCCCCTTCAATCTACTCTCAGCATAGTAGTTCAGGGCTATCTCAGTTACATCATGTTACTTTTCTGCTCAAAACCTTCCAATTGCTTCCCATCTCAATCAGATTTTTTTAAAGCCCAAGTCCTTACAATGGTCTATAAGTCGAATGATTACACATCAGAGTTTGTCCAGGACAGTCATGGCTTCTCTCCATTGACCTAGTGTTAACCCTCACTTCCACCTTTCATTCCAGAAGTTTCCCAATTGGGATGACAAATTATACATGATGACAACCTACAGGTCACATTTGACAGTTTACTTTAAAAGTAAACAGGTGGCTGGGCATAGTGGCTCACATCTGTAATCCCAGCACTTTGGGAGGCTGAGGTGGGCAGATCACCTGAGATCAGGAGTTTGAGACCAGCCTGGCTAACATGGCGAAACCTCATTTCTACTAAAAACAAAAAAATCAGCCAGGCGTGGTGGCACATGCCTGTGATCGCAGCTACTCAGGAGGCTGAGGCAGGAGGATCGCTTGAACCCAGGAGGCAGAGGTTGCAGTGAGCCAAGATCACACCATTGCATACCAGCTTAGGCAACAAGAGTAAAACTCTGTCTCAAAAAATAAAAATAAAAGTAAACAGGCTTCTAAATTAACCCACCTTGGGAAGGTCTAGTGATTCATGGTGACACCTTGTCCCTGAGTAAGGAATCTTATGAGTTTCTCAAATTATTGATGTACTGATCAATGCACAACCCAGGTACACCGATTTATCTCTGAGTCATAACATTTTACTGATTGTCTTGCATGTAGACATTTCAGCCTGTATGTTGCAATCGGTAGCCAATTATTGTAACCTTTGTATTATACCTTCCAATGAAAATGGACAACTCTTATATGAAGAGTCCCCCTCCTTTCTTCTAACTTTCCTGTAAAAGCCTTCCAACTTGTAACAGACTCCAGAACACTCTTAACTTTGTTGTTGTGTTTTCCTGGGTTTGTCCTCACATTTGGCGTCCAATAAACTTTTATCAAATAATTTCTGCCTCAGCAGCCTTAATTTCATTTGACAGTCACCCAGTTTATGGGGCCCTACTCTAATCTTCATGCCCTCCTTTAGCTCACTGACTTCATCTCTTATTACTCTCTCCATTGCTTTCTTCATTAAGACTACCCAGGCCTTGCTATTCTTTGAACATACTAGCCATGCTTCTCTATT